AAAAATGGATATACCAAAGTCATCACAATTTAATGCCATTAATTTTTTTTTTTTCTATCATTCCTTCCTTAATAAGAAAGGATTCAATATATGATAAGGAACCATCTCATGTAAGAGCTCCTTGGCCTAGAAGGGTTAACATGCCCATTTTTTAGTGAGAAAGTGAGGAAAACAATGATCCAATTCGTGAGCTCATAATCACCTTATCTTTAATACCATGAAAATGAATTATCTCACCTAAAAGTTTAAATTTATAAGTTGATGGGCCTTCAATAGTTTTTTTTTTTTTTTTTGGTAAACAGGCCTTCAATAATTTTACTAACTATTATTTTAACCTTATTATTCTTATTAAATATATATAGAAACAAAAAACAATGCTCACGCGAAGTACAATAACAATTGGAATAAAAATTGATGGGAGGGACAGAACTTGTGAGGACCTCTAACTTTGGCAATTTATTTGGATGAGAATCTTATTCCATCTTGATATTTTGTTAGTATTTAACTCTAGTCTCCACTTAATGATTTCATGAAGAAAAATATTTTTTATTAATATGTTCTTGTTTTTAATTTTTTTTTTCTTTTAATTAGTATGAGATGATATAAAACTAAAAAATAAAATAAAGGAGGAGACGAGGAGGTAAGGCAATGGTTGTCTAAGTGCCATTCTCTAGTTTCATGGTAGCACAAGCTTGGGAATATTGAGGGGACCCAAATTCAGGGTGAGGCATTCATAAAAAAAAAAGACAAAAATATGAAGAGATAGGATCATTTAACACCAGTGTCAAATTTCAAACTTGACACCTCATCTGAGAGCCGTTAGATCATAAAAGATCAACGACTCTGATTCGTAAGCATGTGACACCATTGATTTTTTGTGATCTAATGGCTCTCAACTGAGGTGTCAAAATTCAAATTTGACACTGGTGTCAAATGATCCTACCTCAAATATGAATATATGATATTCTAATTGCATCATGGGCATGTTTACAACAGGGATGATACCAATCGTTTGACTGCAAATATGTAATTTTGTTTTATTTTATTTTCCCCTTAAAATTGCACCTGCTACAGGAAATGAATTGAACTAGGCTTAGAGTTCATTTCGAAAAGCACAATACAAGGGTGTCAACTATATTTTTTTAATTGATTCAACAAAGGAATTATTTTATTCGAATTATTTTAAGAAATACATTATTTTTTCAAAATCTATTCGATTTAAGAACCAAATCCAATTTTAGGAGTGTAAATTGTATTGAACTGGAAACCAAACGGAATCTTACTATATTTTTTGAATTGAGTTTAAGAATTAAATCATTTTTAAAAAATTGATTCAATTGCCCAATCAATTATTATTTTTTTAATTCGTTTCGATATAAAATGCGATGAGAACTGAAACGTACAAACCCCTACACAATACATAAGCAAGAAACCCAATTGTTAGTTGTTACGAGAGAATAGGGGTCAGAGCGGTTTTTTTTTTTTTTTTTTGGAGTTACCCAACCTTAATTATTTCTTTGAGACGAGTTGGCTCCCTCCGGTATCCCCACGAGCTTCGACTCTTTGACCCGGCTATGGGACTAATCCGGAGTGCGGGAGAACAGTGATGGCTAAAGGTTCAGCCCCATCCCCAAGAAAGGTCAGAGCGGTTTCTTAACCACCACCACCCTGCCCAGATAGGAAAAAAAAAAAAAACAGTATAACAATCTATAGTTGAATTGAGACTAGGAAACACTCCAGAGACCAGCAGAGAATCGACAATCACACATATCGCAAACGAAAAGAGAAAAGAGAAAAGAGAGAGAATAGATACTATCATGGTTCACCCAAGTTAAGTCTATACTATATTCACCTCACCACCACTCGTTACAAGTTACTCGGTTTTCTAAGAAAATATAAATAGGATTAGAAAAATCCTAACAACAGCTATTTATGGGGCCAAGCCCAAACTATTAAGAAAATTACAATAAATCAGAGGTACACAACAGTACCTAGCCTCTAGGGGTGCTAAACGAACCAAGGGCCTTTAGCTCGGCTCGTGAAGGCTTAAGCTTACATGTCTAAAATTGGTTGTTGGTACCAGGTTTGAATGTGTATAAAAGCTCGTTTAATAAAAAGGTCGCAGGCTCCAATTCAAAAGCTCGGCCTTAGAGCCTCCCAGGCTGGCCTAGTATATTATTATTTTTAGATTTTATATTTTTTATACTACTTGTAATAGTCTTCTCTTTCTTCTCAATCCATTTCACCCCATTTTATTGGTTAAACAGACTTTTTAAATTATTTTTTTTCTATATTATGCTATTTGGATATACATTGAATTTATGAATATTTATGGAATTACTAGTGTTGTTGATTGTATATTATGTTTGGATGAATTTTTGTTGTCTTATTTTTTTTAAACAGGCTAAACCTGGCTTTTAGTTTTTTTAAGACCAAAGCTCAGCTCGACTCGGCCCGTTAACACCCCTACTAGCCTCCCACAACAGTACCTAGCCTCTACGTTATCTGTGGGAGTATTGAGCAGGTATATGTCCAAGTCAGGAAAGGAGCATTGGACGGCTGTGAAGCGTGTGTTCCGTTATCTTCGTGGTACGTCTGACCTTGGGTTATGCTATGAAGGCGTGAAGGGCTCAAGGGACATGCATTATTAGAGCTGAGATGCTTTGTGGATGCAGATTGGGGAGGTGACATTGATAGTAGAAGGTCTACAAGTGGATATGTTGTTTCTTCATTTGGCGGAGCTATCAGTTGGATGAGTAAGAGGCAGAGCACTGTTGCTTTATCTTCTACAGAGGCTGAGTACATGGTCTTGACACATGCTGTTAAGGAGGCTATTTGGTTATGGAGATTGTGCAAAGAGCTTGGCTTTGTACAAGGAGAGATGATCGTTGGGTGTGACAGTCAGAGCGCCATTTTCTTGGCTAAGAATCCAGGTTTCCATGCTAGGACCAAGCATATCGGCATACAGTACCACTTCATCAGAGAGAAGATTGAAGACAAGGTTGTATTGCTGGAGAAGGTTGACACAAAGGTCAACAATGCTGATTTTCTGACCAAGGCAGTGACTTCAGAGAAGTTTGAATGGTGTACAGCTGCATTGGGATTGAAGAAACATGCGAAGCATTCACCAAGTGGGAGAATGTTGGGTATGGCTCATACTTCGTATGCTGATGAAGGCCCTAGTTGTTGAGGTCAGCAGAAAGACAACTGGGGTCCCGCTCCCAGGTGAGCGGGCGGGGGTCTGGGGGCAGCGCCCCCAGGCCCGTAGAGGCTAGGTGCTGTTGTGGGCCTCTGTTTTATTGTAATTTTCTTTGCAGTTTGGGCTTGGGCCCATGAATAACTACTGTTAGGGTTTTGTAATCCTATTTATATTTGCCTTGTAAACCGAGAGATTTGTAACGAGTGGCGGTGAGGTGAATATAGTACAGATAAGTTGGACGTAGCCTAAATTGGGTGAACCAGCAGCTTAAATTTGACGAATCAGGGTAAATTGCTGTGTATATTCTCTCTATTTTCTTTTTTCGTTTTCGATTTGTGTGTGGTCGATTTCCAAGTGTAACAATTTGATCAGATAGCCACTTTAAAGAGTTTTTATAATTCCGAAGACACGCTCTTGACGGCGTCCGTATATTTTGTGTAATGTGTCCAGTCCAATTTCTCGCCATCATTGAGTTGAAGCTTCAAATCGAGAAACAAGAAATCAGAATAAAAAATGAGTGACTCCAATCGATGAAAATGCGGAATCAGAATACCAACCAACCAACGGAAAATAATGGAACGGGATTTATTCTGATTAGTCATTTGATCAATGGTCACATGTATCCGAACAGCTTCGCGTTATTATTGTACACACACTAGGAGGTCAGAACCTTGCAAATATTTTATGTGACAACAAGAAGATGTAAAACAAAATATTGTACAGAGCGACCATAGAGATGTAGACACACATTCAAACGACAAGTGTTTGTATAAAATTATGCATGTCCAACAAGAGCATGATGAGTTGAAAAAATAACCCAAAAAGCTTCATTTGATCTTTTATGCGGTAAACTACGTATACATCTTAACATTATAAATTACAAGTTGATGAACTTCACTATTTTCTATTTTGGAAAAAATGTGTATCATACAAAATTAAGTCCTTTTATGAGAGGGATAAAGATAAATTATGGGGAGAGAGAATGAGTTTTTTATTTTTTTCTCTCCTCCATTATCTATCTCTATCTATCTCTTAAAATGATTATCTTTTTAAATGACACACACTTTTTTCTTTTATTTTTAGAGTAAACACCATTTTCGATCCTTAGCAAATTTCACTATGCCTTTAGTTCCTAGCAAATAAAAAGGCTATTCATGGTCTTTAAGAAATTCAAAGTGGATCCATTTTAGTTCTTTTGATGAACTAATGTGGGTCTTTTTTGAATTTGTGAGGGACCATGATTTCAATTAAATGAGTCTATTTTGAATTTCTTAGATACCACGAATAGCCTTTTTATTTGTTAGGGACTACAACGGGCATGGTGAAATTTGCTGAGAACCAAAAAAAAGTATTTACTGTTTCATTTTATAAATTTTCTTATGAATTTTCGTGCAAGCTTATGCTCCTCCTTTTGCATAACCTATTATGTGCCTGCAACATGCACCGATGCCACTGCCTTCCTAATGCTATATAAATGGCTTCCCACTTGACGTATAACCAAGCCAAACTTGTTCTTCAATTCAACACAATGATGAACAACTTATCCTACTTTGGTAGAAAGCTACAACATCTTTGTAGGTTTTTCCCCAACAGCTTCAACTACCATGGCTCATTGGCTCTTGTTCTGCCCTTCCATTTTAACTCCTTCTTCATTCAACTTTGTTATTTCATGATCCTTTCTCTGTTTGGTTACCTTGGTCTCAAGGTCTTAAAGCCAAGGACCCCTGTTAGTCCCAGTGACTTTGATCTGTTTTACACCTCTGTTTCTGCTTCCACAGTTTCTAGCATGACAGCCTTAGAAATGGAGGTTTTCTCAAATTCCCAACTCATTCTTCTGACCCTTCTTATGTTCGCAGGTGGGGAAGTTTTTACTTCCATTCTTGAACTTGTATTTGATAGGTTCAATTTCACCAAAAGTCAGTGTGTCACAAACAGAGTTGGTCCTACTCTTTCACTCAAACAGGACCCTCCAATCAATGCCAATCAAATTGAGCTTGGTTTAGTTTCTATTCCTCAGTCAGAAAACGACAAACCGAGTGATAGTAATATTTATGTTCCAAATGGCACAGTAGCAATATCCTTTAACGATAGAGACAGACTTAAGTATAAGTCTCTTAGGTATCTGAGATATGTAGTTTTAGGTTACCTTATGGTGGTTCATTTTGTTGGTTTTAGTTTGGTCTCTTTGTACATAAGTTTTATACCGAGTGCGAGACAAATACTGAAAAACAAAGGGATCAAAATACAAACATTTTCTTTCTTTACCATAGTTTCCACTTTTGCCAGTTGCGGTTTTGTTCCCACCAATGAGAGCATGATAGTGTTCAAAAAAAACTCAGGCCTCCTCCTCCTTGTCCTCCCACATGTCTTTCTAGGTAACACCCTCTACCCACCATGTTTGAGGCTCGTGATAACGGTTCTAAAAAAAATAACAGGAATAGAGGAATTCTCGTACATGCTGAAGAATTCCAAAGATATAGGTTATGAGCATTTGCTCTCTGCTCTTCATTGTTGGCTCCTGATTGTTACTGTCTTGGGGTTCAATCTGATACAATTTGTAATGTTCTGTTACATGGAATGGGACACCAAAAATATGGATGGTCTAAATCTCTATCAGAAAATGGTTGCGTCTTTGTTTCAAGTTACAAATGCCAGACATGCTGGTGAATCTGCTTTTGATCTCTCCACCATCTCTTCAGCCATATTGGTTCTCTTCATTGTCATGATGTAAGTTACTCTCTTTGCTACGTATACGTCTCCATTATATATCCTCTCTATCTCTCTGATATAGGACAATCATAATGCTTCAATTGGGTCCATGCATGTGTGATTTCTTAGATGACATCAATTACTTTGTTTGATTGGGAAGTGCAACAAAATCTAATGATAACTTGCTGTATCTTTCCACCAACACTTTGCAACAAAACCTATGGCTTTCAAAGGCCCTGCAAAGAAGGGAAAGAAAAGACCATGTGGGAATGGGAAATGGACGGTGGCGCATATATTAACTTTTATAACATTTTTAGTACGTTCACTGCACGCTTCCTCCTTACGGAAAAGAAAAAAGAGAAAAGAAAAAAGGATTTCACTATTTTTCTCTCTCGCCCCGTGGAAGTCACATATTTAATAGGGTTTTGCATCTATCATTTAACATGATCACAACAATTTTCCTACACACACAATATTTTGTGAGACCCGCAATTTTTGAAACCAAAAAAAAAACAAAAAACTTCGACACGCAAAACGAATTTCTATAACATAACACAATTACTTTTCTACAACATAACTCTTATAAAACCCTATTTAATATGACTCTCTACAAATAAACCTTTCCTTAGATACTGAGGAGAACAGGATTTTTTTAGCACTAGTTTTTTTTTTTCTCATAACGGGAAGGTGTAGAACAAAGTTTTAGAATACGAAATGGAGAAGTAACGTTAATTTTTTTTGTGGGAAAAAGGTTTGTCTTTAAAACCACATAACCGAGTTGTGGCATATTAATTTTTAACACTATATACTACATATAATATATAGTTATAATATGAAAAAATTTTTTTTCTCTCCTCAATCATTTCAGCTGATATGGAAAGTAAATTTTTTTTTTTTTATATTATAACTATGTATTACGAGTAGTATATAATATGAAAAATTAAAAAGATAGACACTTGACCTTTTTTTTTTTATAGATATAGATGCATGCCCACGTATGCTTATTTTCAAAATTTTGAGTTTTTTTTTTCAAGTTGTTTGTTACAATACTATTATATATGTACGCTTGAAAATTTGGCCTCTGAATTTTCTCTCCTAGTCATGTTCTTGACCTAGAGAGATCGAGGAGAGAAAGAAAATAATGAGAAACAAAATCATTTCAAGCATATTTCTATGTATGTATCTATATGTGTGTGGTTGTGGCATGTTACTTTTTAATATGATTGGAGCTATTTGTTAGAGAATAAGTGCTAATTCAACCCAAAATCTTAAGGTATTAAATGATTATTTTTTTTAATACTTTTTATTTTATTCTCTAACACTATTTTGAAATATTACGTGGGTGTCTGTATGAATTCTGTCCTCTCACTTACAAGATTGTATTATAATTATAAATTTGATAATTCAAAAAAGGAACTCTGACCGCACATATATAGTAGGATTAAAATTGTTTGATAACGCAGCTTTATGAGATCCAACACTTTCTTGATAATAATTTGTTATTCAAGAATCAAATAAACTATCTAGACATGAATATGGCATTTGTTAAAATACACTAGCTAGCACTAATAAGGAGACTGTTATTTGGGTATCATTTGAATTTAATTTTCTTTCTCTGACAGGTACCTCCCACCGTACACTACATTTTTACCTATGAAGGACCACCAAAATGATTGCAAGAGAGACAAAAAAAGCCTAGTGGAGTGTCTAGTATTTTCTCAACTCTCGTACTTAGTTATTTTTATTATCCTGATTTGCGTTACAGAGAGGGAAAGCTTAAAGGATGATCCCCTCAACTTTAATGCGCTGAACATCACCCTAGAAGTCATCAGGCATGTAAAAACTCTTTCTCTATCTTTACCTTTGTCGGCCAATATATTTATTTTTTGGTAAATCCGAAATTCTAACGAATTTGAATAATCTGATTTTGGATTTCTTTAGGAGTTGCGATTCTCATTAAATCAAACACACTATCTTTGTATAGCAAATTTTTTTAATACATTATTTAATAATTATTCTTTTACATTTTTTCTATTATATTTTAGAAGAAGTTATACTTAGAATCTCTTACAATAGTTTTTATTATCGTTAGATCAAAATCAAATCAATAACTTTTACTTGATGTCATTTTATAATCATTAATTTGATTTTGATTTAATAATAATAAAATAGTTGTCAGGGAAAAGCAATTATTATTATTATTATTTGGATAGAGAAAAAGCGATTATAATCTATAGTCTTTCCTTATATTTTGTGTTATTTTCTTTGCATAAAGATTGGTCTCTGGACAAACATATATTACGGTTCCAATGCACGGACAAGGGATTGGAGCAATTCTTGCATGAAAATTCATATAGTATAACTTTTACACTATAAAAGGGCTGTGAGAACTTAAAGAATCAACTCAACGCAAAAGTTTAAATTATTGGGTGAGAATCGTAAGATTATATTACTAGTTTTATATTTTCCTAACACGTCTTCTCATCCGAGAGCCCATTGAGTTTGAATGGTAGATAATGTATAAGGCCGAGTATCTGTGCTAAGAAATTCCATAATATGTTTTCCAAAAAAATAAAATTCTATAAAATTTAATTATTTTTATTAATAAAATTAAGGACAGTGAGGATTTAACTCATGACCACTTGTTATTAAGGTTTTAATATTATATAAAAACTAATTCAACCCAAAAATTTAAGCTATTAGGTGAGGTCACACTGATATTTTTTTTTTTTTTTTTTGATAACAATATTTTTATATTTATCAGACAACAACAATGACGCATAATATTGATCATACCTTGATATTACTTAAATACTAAATATGTAAATATTGATTACACATATATACTGTCAAACTGTGCAGTGCGTATGGGAACGTAGGGTTCTCAACGGGATACAGCTGCGCAAGGCAATCGAAACCCGATGCTACGTGCAAAGATTCATGGATTGGATTTTCGGGTAGGTGGAGTACCAAAGGCAAGTTCATCCTTATCTTGGTCATGTTCTTTGGGAGACTCAAGAAATTCAATGTTAACGGTGGCAAAGCCTGGCAGCTGTCCTAGAATATGTATAACTAACACCACCCTGCTGCACCAACATGAATACCACTCTCTACTTGTAATAAGTTTCTTCTCAAGCAGAAGCATGTGTTGGTATAATAATAAGGTAGTTTGAGAGCTTTTGGCTTCAGTAAGCTTTGGAAGATAGTGACAGAGAGAGTATTGCTACTTGCATAACATTAGGGTCCTTTTAATTAATCAACTGTGCAGAAGCATGTGGATATGTATATCATGTGTATTTCATATATAGTAAAATCATTTCTGTCAGCCGCTTTATGTACAGCAACGATAGGTGTATGGTTATGATTCTTCGCATTTAATGTTTTCATCCTTTGTATGATTATAATTCTCCGCATTTAATGCTTTCAAGTATATATATGGCAAGTTTTTGATTATTGCACATGCAACAACGGTAGAAATGTAAACCCCTTCATGTAATGGCTTTGATTTGTAAACATGTGACACTATTGATCTTTTTTGATTTAATAACTCTCAGATAAGGTGTCAAATTTCAAATTTGACACTGGTGTCAAAGGATCTTACTTCATATATATATATTTATTAGGGATAGGATATTGTGACACCCAAGTTATGTTACACCCATGTGACACCCAGTCAATCACACCGTTAGATCGCTTATGTTGATCCAACGGTTATATTTATTTCCATCTTTGTATGGTCATGATTTCCCAAATTTAATATTTTATATTTATTTCTACCTTTGTATGGTTATGATTTCCCATATTTAATGCTTTCACTTTAAATTTGGGAAATCATGACCATACAAAGATGGAAATAAATATAACCGTTGGATCAACATAAGCGATCTAACAGTGAGATTGACTGGGTGTCACATGGGTGTAAGATAACTTGGATGTCACAATATCCTATCCCAATATATATATATATATATAGCCAAACATATATTTATGATAGTGGACGTCAGTTTGACTTGCCCTCGTCCCACTTCACAACCTGAACAGATCGTAAAGATTGTGTATTACTTGTGGCTGGCATCGGGATCTAATTAGTACTCCCACTTCAGATTGTATATCAAACAAAACGTCTATATATATTCAGACATGTATAATTGAAGTGAACATTGAAAAGGTTCGATTCTATGTTGTGGAATTTTATGATGTTAACGGAGATTAGTGAGGGACCCAGAAAAAAAAAATTTATGTGTGCACACTTAAGGTAGGGGTTTGGGGGCAACGCCTCCGAAGATTTTTTTTAATTTTTTTTTTAAATATATTAATTGTAGGAGTTAATTGATCAAAAACCAATCTCTATCGATGTCTATTTGATCCAAAGTTGACTACTTTTGTTTCACAAAAAAATGTGAAAAATCTCATGCAATTCTCCTCCACTTGAAGAAGATTGAATTTCAGGAATCATTGATGTCCATTAAGGTTTGAAGCTAATAGAGTTTATGTTTAAAAAAAGAAAAGAAGAGACAAAACAATGGGGTAGGGTTTAAGCCTTAAGCTTTTAATTATATGGGTTGGTTGTGTTGGGAACTCGGTTCCCTCTAGCTCGGCTAAGTAGCCTTTGTGCGGAAGTCAATCAATAAGATCCTGATCTCGGATCTCGCAATGCCTCGGCCTGAACTTCACCAGGTCGGACAGCGCAGCGAAAAATCAAAACGAAATCAGGAGAGGGAGGAGAAGAAGAGAGGGAGAACACAAGCAATGTTTAACGTGAGAAAACCTTATTCAATGAAGAAGTAAAAACTCACGGGACCTAATCCAGATCAAAAATCCACTATGAAAATAATGGTTACAAAGAATCAAATACACCAATGTGGTGGTTAACTCAACCTCTCCAACAATGTTGATAATCAAACTACCCTAGAGAAAATACTCTCTAGAGATCTCTCAAATACAAAGCATAAAGCTTTGCTCAAACAATTTTCTCTCAAATTTCAAATCTCTCTCATTCTCTTAACCTAGCCTCCACCCACAACTAATGAATATATAGAGGAGGTGAGATCTAGGGTTTAGGGTTTTTAGGAAACCCCTCAATGGGCTTTGGCTTAGTATTGAAGGGGGAAGCCCAACAAATCTCCCCCTTCGGCTTCAATGCATCGGCTTCAGCATCAACCCGGCTCCTTCACAGCAGTCTTCAAATTTCCTTGCTGGAACCGGCTTTGTCATCATGTCGGACCAATTATGGTTAGTGTGCACTTTGACGAGTTCGAGCTCTCCACTTTCCACCACATCCCAGATCCAGTGATACCTCACATCAATATGCTTAGTGCGGGAGTGATAAATTGAATTCTTCGCAAGATGTATTGCGCTTTGATTGTCACAACCAAGCTCGTACTTGTCTTGATCATAGCCGAGTTCCATGAGGAACTTCTTCATCCACAACATCTTTTTGCTTGCCTTAGTAGCGGCAATGTACTCAGCCTCAGTTGTCGATAGTGCAACACATTTCTGAAGTCTTGATTGCCAAGAGACAGCTCCTCTAGCAAATCTCATCATGTATCCCGTCGTCGATTTCCTCGAGTCGGAATCTCCTCCTAAATCAGAATCCGAGTAGCCTTGCAACTCGGCTTTGCCTTCTCCAAATCGGAGACATAAGTCGGTTGTACCTCAGAGGTACTTGAAGATCCACTTCACAGCTTCCCAGTGCTCTTTGCCGGGGTTTGATAGATACCGTCTTACTATTCCAACAACATACGCCAAGTAGGGTCTAGTGCAAACCATTGCATACATCAAGCTTCCGACGACGGATTGGTACGAGACCTTCATCATCTCATATTTGTCTTCATCAGATCTCGGACATTGCTTCTGGTTCAGCTTTATGTGTCCGTCTAGGGGGGTGCTCACTGTTTTGGCTTTGGCCATGCTGAATCTCTTCAGAATCTTCTCAATATACTTCTCTTGACTTAGCCATAATAGCTTCTTTTGTCTATCTCGGATAATCTTGATTCCGAGAATCTACTTTGCAGGGCCGAGGTCCTTCATTGCGAAGGACGAGCTCAACGCCTTCTTTAGGGCGGCTATCCTCGATTTGTCTTTCCCTACAATAAGCACGTCTTCAACATATAACAACAATATCAGAAAATCTCCGACCTCATACCTCTGCACAAATACGCAGTGGTCGGCTTCTGTCTTCTCAAACTTATGATCAGTCATGAATGATTCAAATTTCTTGTACCACTGTCGAGGTGCTTACTTTAAGCCATAGAGGCTCTTCTTCAACCGACATACCAAGTCTTCTTGGTCTGGAGCTCGGAATCCTTCAGGTTGTTCTATATATATCTCTTCTTCTAAATCACCGTGAAGAAATGCCGTCTTCACGTCCATTTGTTCTACCTCGAGGTCCATTGAAACCGCCATGGCTAACACGATTCGGACCGAGGTCATTTTCACCACAGGAGAAAAAATCTCCTCAAAATCTACTCCTTTCTTCTGATTGCAGCCTTTCACTACAATTCGGGCTTTGTATCTCGGCTTCTGCCCGTTCTCTTCATTCTTAATCTTGTAGACCCATTTATTTTTTAGAGCTCGTCTTCCTTTTGGCAACTTGGTCAGCTCATAAGTCTTATTCTCGTGAAGAGACTTCATCTCGTCTTGCATTTCCTTTTTCCATTCTTCTTTCTCTGAGCTCGTCACAACCTCTTCATAACTCTGAGGATCACCGTCTTCAGCAACAAAGGTGTATTTATCAGATGGGTATCTTGTAGAGGGTCTTCTTTCTCGAGTTGGATATCTCGGCTGTTCTTCAGCTTGAGAACCCGGTTTATCATTCTCATCTCGGATCTTATCCTCAACTCGGACCTCAGTGTCTTGGTCATCATCAGCTTGTTGCTGATCATCATTTTCTTCATTATTTTCTTGATTTTCTCCCCCTGCTTCAGCTTGGACAGGAGGGATGGGTTCTTCACGTCTAACAGTAACTCGGACTTTGGGCTTCGAGATGTCATGAATGTTCTCATGCTCATGAAAGATCACATCTCGGCTTCTCACGATCTTCTTATTGATTAGATCCCAAAGTCGAAACCCGAACTCATCTCGGCGAACCAAGGTAGATGCATTCTTTTGTCTTCGTATCGAGTTTTGCCCTTCCATCTTTAGGGATATGCACGAAAGCTCGGCATCCAAACACCTTCAATTGATTGTAGGCCGCTTTGCGACCTGTCCAGATTTCTTCTGGAATTTCTCCTTCAAGTGGCCGTGATGGTGAGAGGTTGATCAAGTCAACAACAGTTTTGACGGCTTCTCCCCAGAATGGTTTCGGCAATCCGGCATTGGATAACATGCTTCGGACCTTCTCTTCAATAGTTCTGTTCATCCGCTCAGCCAGTCCATTCAGCTGAGGTGTCTTGGGGGGGCGTCTTCTCAAGTCGAATCCTGGCCGCTTTGCAGTATGCATCAAATGGGCCATAATACTCACAACCATTATCAGATCAGACCACCTTAAATTTCTTGCCAGTCTCCCTTTCAACTATACCATGGAATTCTTTAAAGGATTGGAATACCTGGTCTTTAGACTTCAACAAATATAACCACACTTTGCGGAAATGGTCATCAATGAATGAAACAAAGTACTGAGCTCCTCCAAGGGATCTTTTTGACATGGAGCAGACATCAGTATGGACGAGGTCAAAAATATACCTGCGTCGTCTTGGTTGATCCGGTCTCAAAAAAGAAACTAAGTGCTGCTTTCCAGCTAGGCAGTGCGTGCAACTCTCCAACGCTTGGCCTTTCAACCCGGTCAATAATCCTTTCTTGTTCAGGATCTGTAGCACTTTCTCGCTCATGTGGCCGAGACGCTTGTGTCATAGCTCCAAGCTAGGTTCATCTCGACCAGAATTGGCTTCTCCACCATTGATCTTTCCTTGCATCACGTACAAGGAGCCTTCCTTCTTACCTCGAGCCACGACCAAGTTTCCCTTGGCCATCTTCCATCTAAAACTACCTAAGTAGTTCACTAATCCGACATCATCAAGTTTGCCTAAGTCGGCATCCGACATCCGTGGTCAAAGTTACATC